CTCAGTCGGTTAAGCGTCTGCCTTCGAGTCAGGTCATGATCTCGGGGGTCCCGGGATCGAGCCCCGCATCGGTCTCCCTGCTCGGCGGGGAGCCTGTTTCTCCCTCTGCCTGCCGCTCCCCCTGCTTGTGCTCTCTGTCTCTCTCTCTCTCTCTCTGACAAATAAATAAAAAAAAACCAAAAAAAAAAAAAAAAAAAAGAAGAAGAGAAAGAGAATCCAAGGAACACATTGAAAAATCAGGCATCAGCCAGAGTCTGAAAACATTTAAAGCTAGAAGAACATTCAGCTTTCTTCTGACATGCCTACAAACAGAAAAATTTCATGGGGTCATACACTAAATTTTAAGAAAAACAAAACAAAAAAACAAAAGAACCAGTCCTTGGGCAGCAGTGTGCTTTCTGGGTGTGTGGGGGGGGGGCGCAGGCAGGGGTCTCCAGCCCCAACAAGCAGAATAGCATATTAGAAAGCAGCCTGGATAGGAATCTCGCCACAAAGCCTACTGGCCAACCAGCCTGGGACAAATCTCCGTTCCTCAGGGGAGATCATGTGGGGGCACCCGGGGGGCTCTGTCGGTGAAGCGTCCGACTCTTGGTTTCAGCTCAGGCTGGGATCTCAGGGTCGTGAGGTCGAGCCCCACGTCGGGCTGCGCGCTGAGTGTGGAGCCTGCTTAAGATGCTCCCCCTCCTTCTCCCTCTGTCCCTCTCCCCTGCTTCTAAAAACTAAAAATAAAAGAGATCGTGTGTATGAAAGTAAAGGCTTGCTGGATGGGAGATATTTTCACGTACCAGTTCCCAGGCACTGCTGCGGCTGGGATGATGGGAAGGTCATTGTGCTTGGGTCCTGAACTGTTCTCCAGCCCCCTCCACCCTCCTGCTCTCACACATGCCCGTGTTCCCAGCCAGACTGACTGCCCCTGGTCTGAGAGCCTCTTCCTAACGTCCTTGCCTGTTCACGCCTGCTGTTCCAACCACCTGAATCGCCTTGATAAATGACAGCAACATCCTCCTTGCCCTGGTCCCAAAAAGGATGAGGGCCCCCGCAGCTTGGGAAGTCCCCCTCATGGGCCTGGACTGCGTTCACCCCAGCCCACGGCCCCAGCACTCAGAATGTTCTTGCCTCCCAGTAGGGCTCAGAGCTGCAGGAGACAGCCGAGGAAGAGGGTCAGAGAGGGGGGCTGGTCCCCAGTCCCGGGGCCTCCTTGTGACTTGAGCTCTTCTTCTCTGGGGAGAAGGGCCAGCCGAAGGAATCCCCAAGTCCCAGCCTCATCTGGGGCGGACCCACACCCCTTCCTGGGGCTAGCTAGGACTCCTGTGAACGGCGTGTGAGAAAGGCCCTACCACAGCCAAGGCCACTGACTGAGCCCCGCAAGAAGCTCGGGCCTCGCTGAGCCTGCTTCCCCCCCGCCAGCCCAGGGCTTTTGGAGCAGGGTCCCAAGGGGCATGGCGAGGCTGTACGAGGGAGGCTGCGAGGCAGCAGAGACTGAGGGGAAGGAAGAGGAAATGGCCCCCTTCCCTGGCCGGCCTGACAGAGAGCTGTAGAGGCCCTCCTTCCTGTGAGGGCCTGGGCCCAGGGCTCAGACCTCTGAGCCTCCCATCTCCCCAAACCACAGCCCAGAGGTGTGAAAGAAAGAAAAAAAACAGGCGGATGGGTGGCAGAGAAGAGACAGGTGCACATTTCACACCTTGACCACAGGTGGGGCCCGGAGCAGCTTCGCTCTGACTAACTTCCTCCTTAAGCTGGCTGCTCGGGAGAGCAGAGGCAGGATAGGCACACCTAGCAGAACTCTGGGCGCAGGCCCCCGGCCTAGGTGGGTCTCCCCGAGGGCTGGGCCGGCCCCCGACCCGCTCTGCAGGCTGCTTGGGACAGGGCCGGCCCCCGAGGCGTCTGAGCCGTGAAAGCAAGCAGCCGTCCAGCGCGCACCTGCCCTTGGGAGGCCCGGGAGGGGCCGCTGTGGGAAGTGACCCGCCGCTCACCGGGGACCTCACCTGGGGCCGCGCACCGGCACGGACGGCTAGCCGGCCACACGGCAGCCCTGTCTAGCACACACGCGAACTGGCCTTGTCCCTGCTTTTCAGAGGAGGAACCTGAGGCAGAGAAGGGGCATGATTTGCCTGACATGACACAGCACGGAAGCCGGAGGGTTAGGCGAGGGCCACCCTTTCTGGAGACCACTGCACCGCATGCCCCGCAGGGCGGCGCACTCCACCCCGGGAGGGGGGGTGCTCCCTCGACCCAGTGAGGCCCCCAGTCCCTCCGAGGGTGTAGCCAACCTCCCTGTCGCTCAGCATTCTCCGCTGTGCTCCTGCCACGCGCGTGCTGGGCCCTGGCAAGGGACCTTCCAGCCCCGGTGAGCTCGGTTCATCCCATGAACAGCCCTGCTGAAGGGGCCGGCGCGAAAATGGGTGTGTCGTTTGTCCAAGGTCACCCAGCTGGAACAGGGGCGAGTCCGAGCTGGAGCCAGACAAGTTCGGGGTTTTTCCCACCCCATCATGGCCACGTGGGAGGCCACGGCCCAACTCAGAAAAGCTCTCCGCACCTTTTCAAACCTCGCGCCCGACCTTCTGTCATTTCTCCTCGCCAGCAGCCTGGGAAGGTGGGGCGCATGGCCCCCACGTGACCCCCGGGGCCTGGGGAGCACAGGAAGGGGATGCCTAGACTTTGAAATGGCATACGGCCCCGTGACTTCCTAACCTCTGTTTGGAGGCCCCACAGCGGGTGGTCCACTCTGGCCAACACAAGCTGTTTCCGAATCTATCGGCTATTTTCCCCCACCATTTCATGCCGAAAAGACCCTTTCAATACCAAGAGGGGGATGAAGGACCTCATCGCAGAATACGAGATCCTCCTTTCAGTCGAACCGAGATTTTTGTTAGCCTCACTTCTTGCACGTGTAGAGAAGCCCCGTCAATGGAAACGCCTCACGGGCCGGCAGCCAGAAACGGGGCTCCCAGCTCCTACCCTTCTTCCTCACTCTGTAGGCAGTCAACTGCCAAGTCCAGCCCATCCTAACTGCCGAGGCTCCTGGAATCACCAGTGCCATCGACCCGCACTGCTCCTCCCGACATCCCCCGGGCCCTCAGCTCCCGCTGGCCCGGACCTTGCGGGCGACAAGCTGTTTAGAGCGAGAAGAGTCACAGCTTCTGTCCACAGAAGGTGGCGAAGGGGCCCTCTGCCTGGCAAGCGTGCGTCTTGTCAAGAAGTTTGAGGCAAATTCCAGGCCTGAGCCTGGAGGCTCTGGAGAAGCACTCTGACTGAAAACTAGCCCCCAAAGGACTGGCTTTGCCTCAATCTCTCTCTCTCTCTCTCTCTCTCTCTCTCTCTCTCTCTCTCTCTCTGTGTGTGTGTGTGTGTGTGTGTGTGTGCCTCTCCTTTTCATCTGGGTGGCAGAGAGGGAAAGAGGAAACTGCTTAGCAAGATGCAAGGTAGGGGCAGCCTTTCCCTGCAGATAAGGAGCACAGGGCACTAGGGAGGGGAGAAGGGGGCAGAGGGCCAAGGGCCAGGAGGGGAGAGAAACTGGTGCAGCCCCAGTGTATTCTTCCCCAACCCTATCCTCCTTCCTCTCGCCCCCGAAGCGACTACTCTCATGAATTTGTTAGCGTGTCCAGTCCCTGTCTTATTTTTTTAATTTTTTGTTAAGATTTTATTTTTTTTTTGAAGTAATCTCTCCACCCAATGTGGGGCTCGGACTCACACCCCCGAGATCAAGAGTTGAGCGTTCTACCGACTGAGCCAGCCAGGCGCCCCTCCAGCCTGTTTTAAACTTCTAGAACAAATAGCTGCATCCAAAACAACGTGGTATTGTTTCTTGTGTGTGGTTTCTAGAATTTACATAAGTGGTGTCCAACTCTACATGATGTACTCTATAACTGGCCTTTTCCACCATGTGGTCATTGGATTTTTCTAGCCAAAGCCATGTCAAAATATAGAGCTTCGAGTCATTTTTTTAAAAGATTTTGTTTATTTATTTGAGAGAGAGAGAGAGAGAAGCAGGAGCAGGGGGAGCGGCAGGCAGAGGGAGAGGGAGAGGCAGGCTCCCCGCTGAGCGGGGAGCCCGATGCGGGGCTGGATCCCAGGACCCTGGGATCATGACCTGAGCTGAAGGCAGACGCTTAACGACTGAGCCACCCAGGTGTCCCAGCAGGTCATTTGTTTTTAACTGCATACCGGTATCCTAGCTTATCCCTGTAAAAAGACTGAAGGCAATGGAATGAGTGGTAAAAAGAGAGACAGCCGTGGTTTCATGCCCAGCACCCAGCCTTACTTGCTGTGTCTGCCGAGGGCCTTTCCCCTCCCGTTCTGGATTAGCCTTGGAGATAACCCCCCGCCCCACAGGGGCATTGTGTGGTTTGAATGAGGCAGTGTCGGAGAAAGCACCTAAAGCCCTGTCTAGCACATACCAAGTTCATTACTAGTAGTTCCCTTTCTTCGGCCCCTGTTGACTAGCAGGGAGGGGCAATAGTGGAAGACTAGATTCAATGTGATGGAGCGCTTTAAAATATTTTCATTTTTAGGGGACACCTGGGTGGCTCAGTCGGTTGGGCGTCTGCCTTCGGCTCGGGTCGTGATCCCGGGTTCCTGGGATCGAGCCCCGCGTCAGGCTTCCTGGCTTGGTGGGAAACCTGCTTCTCCCTCTCTGCCCCTGCCCCACCCCCCGTGCGTGCTCTCTCTCTCTCTCTCTCTCTCTCTCTACCTCTCTCAAATAAATAAAACCTTTAAAAATAAGTAAATATTTTCATTTATCGGGAAGGTTCATCTCTTTTACAGACTGAAGACGTTTAGCCATGCAATCTACAGTCCGCTCCAGCCCGGGGCCGATGAAGGCGAGTCCAGGTGCATCGAGCATTGACTATCCTAGTGCGGGAGCAGCGGTCCATGCCCCTGGCAGCGGGGCTGCCCCCCCCCCACTTCCCAGACACGCCGCTTCTCCTTCAGATCTCTCCCCTCAGAGGCCCTGCCCTTCCCCAGACCCCAGGCTGTCTGGTCCCAGGCTGGCAGCCAGTTCCTCCAGAGCAGCTTCCCCTGGCCTCGGGGGAAATGGCTGGAGTAGAAACTCCCGCGGCCTTGGGTCTGGGGAGGTCTGGTACAGACAACCCCATGGAAGAGGCTGCTGCCGAGAATCATGTGAAACCCTCACTTCCTTTGTGTAGCGCAAGTTGCCGACCACAAGCACCAAAGCAGAGGGGCAGGCAGCACACAGCCCGGCAGCCAGAGTACCAGTCCGGCGACAGTCCCTGAGGTAAGCGCTGCTCCGGCAGGCCGGGAGGGACACAGGTACGCCGCTCAGAGCGGAGGGCCCGGGATACTGGGGCAAAGTCAGGGCTGCCCACCTCCCCCCACCCCACCCCGAGCCGGGGCCACCTGGGGGTTGGGTGAGTAGACAGACAATGCAGGGGTTGTGGTAGAAGGAGCCCTGGGCCGGGGAATTGGGAGCCCACCGTGGCCCCCCGCCTTGTGCAGGACCGCGGACGAGTCCCCTGTCCTGTCTGGCTTTGGCGCCTCATCTGCAAAATGTGGGCCGTAGAGGCTCACCCCCCGACGGCCTCCAAGGCTGCCTTCAGCTCTGAGTTAGAACTTACTCTTCCACGCGGGACTGAATTGGCACTGAGAAGGCTCGTGGCTCCGGGGTGGTTGGCAAGGTGACGGGGTAAGGAGTAGTTCTATTAGAGTTGGGCTGGGGCAACCCCCAGTGGGTGGCAGGTGGCCTCCGCGTTTGGGAAGGGAAGAACAGGAGCCGAAAGCATGTGATGGGGGGCTGGGGGGGGCTTCAGTGATTTGTGGAGGGGCCCCATGGGGAGCAGGAAGTTGGGGTCCCTCAGTGAGGGCTGAGGAGGGAAGTAGAGGGCCAGCGACTGACTAAGGGGACTGTGGGGAGGTGCCTGGGGAGGAAAGTGGTAGAACTAGGCGTGGCCGGGGAAACAGAAGGGCGAGTGGTGAAGGAAGAGCCAGGAGAGGGGAGAGGGGGCAGGGAGGGCTCTTGGCATGGGAGGGCAGCTTTCCCTCGGGCCCACAATCCCCGGGCTGATGGGGTGGCCCAGAAGGGTGAGAGAGAAGCTGGCTCTGAGATGAGACTTTACCCCACCCCGCCCCCCCACCACCACCCACGGTGGTTGGGGTTGGGGTTGGGGTTGGGGGTGGGGGGGGGGGGGGGGCGGGTGGGCGGTGATGGCCAAGGCCCAGCAGACCGAGCTCTGAGTTCCGCGGGCGAGGCCTCGGAAGAAAGGCAGGAACGGTGACGCGCGGGATGGCCCCGGCCTGGGGCCTGCCTGACGGAGGGGCCACTCAGAGCCACGCTCCCACGGTGAGTGCCAGGCCTTCACGGGGTCCGTTCCCTGCCTCCGCCCGCAGATGAGCGAACGCCAAGTGATCCAAGCGTCCGAGCTCGCCTTCCTCCTGGAAAACTGCAGCTCCTCCTATGACTACGGGGAGAACGAGAGCGAGTCCTGCTGCCCGTCCCCGCCGTGCCCGCAGGACTTCAGCTTGAGCTTCGACCGCACCTTCCAGCCGGCCCTGTACGGCCTCCTCTTCGTGCTGGGGCTGCTGGGCAACGGCGCTGTGGCAGCCGTGCTGCTGAGCCAGCGGGCAGCCCGGAGCACCACCGACACCTTCCTGCTCCACCTGGCCGCGGCCGACATACTGCTCGTGCTGACCCTGCCCCTGTGGGCGGTGGACGCCGCCATCCAGTGGGTCTTCGGGTCTGGCCTCTGCAAGGTGGCCGGGGCCCTCTTCAACATCAACTTCTACGCCGGGGCCCTCCTGCTGGCCTGCATCAGCTTTGACCGCTACTTGAGCATCGTGCACGCCACCCAGCTGTACCGCCGGGGGCCCCCGGGCCGCGTGACCGTCACCTGCGTGGTCGTCTGGGGGCTCTGCCTCTTCTTCGCCATCCCCGACTTCATCTTCCTGTCGGCCCACCGCGACGAGCGCCTCAACGCCACCCACTGTCAGTACGACTTCCCGCAGGTGGGCCGCACGGCCCTGCGCGTCCTGCAGCTGGTCGCCGGCTTCCTGCTGCCCTTGCTGGTCATGGCCTACTGCTACGCCCGCATCCTGGCTGTGCTGCTCGTCTCCAGGGGCCAGCGACGGCTGCGCGCCATGCGGCTGGTCGTGGCGGTCGTGGCGGCCTTTGCCCTCTGCTGGACCCCTTACCACCTGGTGGTGCTGCTGGACACCCTCATGGACCTGGGGGCCTTGAGCCGCAACTGTGGCCGGGAGAGCCGCGTGGACGTGGCCAAGTCGGTCACGGCCGGCCTGGGCTACATGCACTGCTGCCTCAACCCGCTGCTCTACGCCTTTGTGGGCATCAAGTTCCGAGAGCGCATGTGGGGGCTGCTCGCGCGCCTGGGCCGGCCCGGCCAGAGAGGGCACCAGCGGCCGCCGTCGTCCTCCCGCCGGGAGTCGTCCTGGTCCGAGACCACGGAGGCCTCCTACTCGGGCTTGTGAGGCCGGACGGGGGCTCTCCTTTCGCCCCGCGGCCCCGACCACCCCCACACCCCAGGCTCCTCCCTCCCTCCCTCCCTCCCTCGCCCCGCAGCCTCACGCCCCACGCGCACTCCGGGGATGCCCTGGCAGCCCCGGCACCCCCGGGGTCTCCCAGGGAGGCACCCCCTCCTCCCGACCGCCGCCGCCGCCGCCCCTGCTGCTCCTTAGCCGCCACGCCCCACTGCCACTTCGGAGGCGGCTGCCCAGAGCCCCACTGCCCTTCTTATCCGGTAACTAGACCTTGGCCTTCCCCATGTTCGGAGAGCACGAAGCGGAAAGCATAGTAGAGGCTGCCCCTATGGGGCCTTGGCCCGAGGCCTCCAACTCAGCAGCGACTGTAGCTGTGGTCCCCAAGACCTGTGTATTCGTTCCTGGGTTTTTTGTTTTTTTTTTTTAATGTCTAAAATTCTGCTTCCAAGGTTGCAATAAACAAGGTAATCGGGCCCAGGCCGTGTTTGTCGCGCATCATTATGGCCAGCCCGGCCCAGGCGTCGGGGATGAGTTTCCGGCCCTCCTCGCCCGGCCCCAGATCTGTGGCAGCTTGTGCTGCTTGCGTTAACGTCTACGTCGAGCCTCCTCTGGGCCCTCCCGGGTGCCCCCGCCCCTCACGGGGAAGCACCCGGGTGCGTGGGTGTGCGCTGTTACCCGGACTGGCCGGCCACTGTAGAGACATAATTTGGGGAAGGGCCTTCAGACATGAAGACCTAGTCCCGGCACTCCAGAAGCTTAGGCCAGCAGGGACGTCGCGGGCAGTCTAGGCCACGTGGCAAAAGAGTGGCTCACGGACCATGAACGGGGCGCTCAGAGCCCTGTGGCCTGAGCCATTGAGGAAGGCTTCTTGAAGACAGAAATGAGCAGACCCGAAGGGACACGTGGTAGGGCCAAGGGCAAAGAGAAGGGAAGACGGTATTTCTGGGCAGGAGGGAAGGCACTGGCAAAACGTGAGGAGGCTGCGAACTGCAAAGCTTAACCAGACCGGGAAGTGCTCCCAACTGGCTAGACTTAGGGTTGAAAATAATGAGACTCCAAGTTGGTTTGGGATCAAGTGGTGGTATCCGAGGATCCTGCTAGAAGGCCGTAGCCAGCTGTTCACGTGAGAGGGGGTGCGGGCTCCCTCTGGGGTAATGACCCATTGGGATCGAAGCAAAGCACCCAGATCGGATGGCTTGCTAACAGTCATTAGCACACAAGCCACCTGGGGGCATGGGGGGGCGCTACAGTTGAGGTGGAAGCACGTAGAGGAAATGACCGGGGCTCCCCAGAAAGACAGGCGGCAGGGCTAGTGGGTTAAGACCTTCCCTTTGCAGGAGTGGGAACCACTGTGCTGTCAGTCCCCCCTCATTAAGCCACCAACGTGCCGCGATCCAGTTTCGTGGGTCAGCTGGGCCTTGGCCAAGACAGCAGACATGGCTGGAGGCAGGCCTGGTAAGGAGGAACCTGAGGATTTCGCTAGGGAAGCTCATAGTGCCCCGGGCCCACACCCGAGCCCTTAGACTTGTGGTTAGGCTTCAGCGAAGCATGTGCGAAATAACAGGAGGATGGAAGGAAGGAAGGAGGACAGAAGGTATCAGTGATGTCCAGTGATGCCAGATTAGTATGGATGTTTGTGGCAGGCCGAGCAATGGGTCCCCCAAGATGTCCACCCTCGAATCCCCAGAACTGGTGAACAGGCTGCCTTACATGGCAAAAACGTGGCTGAGGAGCTGACCTTAAAATAAGATTCTCTTGGATTATCCAGGTGGGCCCAATGGCCTCACAAGGGTCCTTAAAAGTGAAATTCAGAAAGGGAAAAGGAGGGAGAGGGAGGATGAGGGTGAGAGAGAGAGAGAGAGAGAGAGAGAGACAGAGAGAGGGAGATGTTGCTGGCTTGAAGGATGGAAGGGGGCCACAAACCAAAGAATGCAGGTGACCTCTAGATGCTGGACAAGACGAGGAAACGGATCCCCAAACCCCAGGGCCTCCAGAGAGAAACACAGCCCTGCCCACACCTTGACTTCAGTCCAGCGTGGTCCGCGCCTGACTGCTGACCTCCCGAGCTGTAAGATGACCCATCTGTGTCGTTTTAAGTCACTAAGCTTGTGGTAGTTTGTTAGGGCGGCAGTAGGAAATGAATACAACGTTGACCCCAGTCTGCATCCTGGCTATCTCCCCGGAGTGGGGAGGCTGCCAAAGTGCTTACGGGCAGTCACAAAAATCCCAGACAAACCCAGATTGGAGGGTGCTCTTGCAGACACATTCTGGAGCACTTCCGAGGTCCGGCGTCTTGGACGAAAGACCTGAGGGCTGGTTCCGCACGAGGCACAGGTTGTCAATGAACAGACCCCATTAACAAGCAAATTGCAGAAAACATTTTATTTATTTTTTTTGTCTTAGTAACAACTACACTGGCTCAGCGTGGCTTTATTCAATGTCAAGAGCAACTGAATTCATGAAACATGCTTGTCTTTTATGTCTAGGTAAGTTTCACAGTTTCCACCTGCCAGCAGCCCTGGTCTCGGGAGTGCTGCCTCTTTTAAAACTGGTTCGCCTCCCAGCAGCCTTCTTCTCTCCACCTGCCCCTCTTGAAAACGCAGTTTGTGTCTGCACTGTGTTCTATGTGTTAGAACTATGTTAAAACTAACTGATACCCAGAGTGGATCCCAACGGCTTGTGAGTACCGTCAAGGGCACAAAATTGCTTAGCAACGGAATCCTTGAAGAACAATCATCATTAACAGTATGAGGCTATAAAGAAACGGTTTAAATCCTATTATTCCTAATATTTATTGCTTATCAGAAACAGATATTTTTCTAAAACTTCTTAGCGGGGGGGGGGGGCTCAGCCCACAGAAATACACCCCCAGATAACCTCAACGATTCTGCCTTTGCTTTTCGCCATAATCCTTGCTCAGCCGCCTCATCACATCCCCATGGCTCATCCCTTTCGTCTCATGCTTAATCATTCTATAATTCTCCTTCACATACTTAGCAAAGGGCCTCACATGGGGTGCAATGGGGGTTCCATCCTTGCGAGTTAACGGCAGCATGACCAGGGGCCCCTTGCACTTGGCACAGATAAAGCGGTCAGTGTTCAAGGATCTGGTATAGCGGCCGACCCTAATGAGGAAAAAGACACCACAAATCGATCAGTCACTGTACCGCAGCGTGTTCTCGGAGCTGCTGGCCTTGGGCCCAAAGCAAGACTCTCAGGCCGGCTCCAAGTAGGAGAGCATGGAGAAAGAAGACGTGGAAAGGAGCAGAGAAGGTTTACTTCTCACGTCGGCCAGCCAGGCACTTACTAACAAAATCACAAAGGGCCAGTTGGCTGGAGGCTGTAGCAGAAAAGTAACCGAAGAAAGTCGGAGGCGGAAGGTCTTACCTGGTTTTGCACTGAGTACATTCATAATGGATCCTGTAGTTAATCTTGTAGTTATGGCAACGAGTGACCATGGGCAGCTCCGGGTGCACTATATTCGATTTCCTGGCATAATACTTCCATGCGTCACCATGAGAATCACGGATGCCATCGAGAAGCCAGGAGGCTGCATGGCATATCTCATGGATCAAAGTATCCCGGAGACGGTCTCGGAAGAGGGATGGAAAGAAATCGTGAGCACCTGAACCAATTCCCTCGGGCCTGCCACTCAACCACCCCTACCTAGACTCTCGCCCCTGCCACACACCAGCCCCAGGTGGCTTAGCAGGAAGTGGTGTGGTGGTGTGCTGGAGACTGAATGGAGATGAAGAGTGAGGTGACAGGGCCCCACACCTGGGCGGAGGCAAAGGACCGAGGACAGGAGGGTCATTTTGAAGATTTGGTGGTTGGCCAGCAACAGGGAGCTACCTACTGAGAGACAGTTAGCCTAATGGAAAGACGGCCAAGCTGGATTCTCAGGGCTGGGGAGACATCTGATAATCATGTCCTCTGAGCAGAGGCACCTGGGTGGCTCAGTCGGTTAAGCGTCCGTCTCTTGATTTTGGCTCAGGTCTCGATCTCGGGGTCGTGAGATCGAGCCCCGCGTCGGGCTCTGTGCTCGGCTTGGTCTGCTTCAGATTCTCTCTCTCCCTCGCCCCCTGCTCGTGCGTTCTCTCTCTCTCTAAAATAAATCACTCCCTCTAAAAGAAATAAATAAATCTTTTCCAAAAATTCTAAAAAATAAAAAAAGATCATGTCCCCCGAGCAAGGCACAGAAGGCCTATCTACCCAGGAAGGACAGGAAAAGCTGTGGCATAGGCTGCTGGGAAATACCAGTCCCTACGAGTCACTACACAAAGAAAGGGCGCAGGAGGGAAGCTGCCGTCACCTGCAGAGTCGCAGACTTTCAGAGAAATCTCTATCTTTGCATAACGCTGCCTCTTCGGGTAACGGGTCTCACCGGTGGTGCATAAGCCCGCAGTTCTCAGCATCTTTTTATTCCAGCCAATATCTATTTTCTCCGGCAGCTGAGAACAAAACAGCCAGCAGAGTGAGTCAGCAAGCAGCTTCAAGCAGACCAAAGACTGTTCACTCAAGAGCTCTGCAGGGGCGCCCAGGTGGCTCCATCTGTTGGGCGTCTGCCTCCGGCTCGGGTCGTGATCCCGGGGTCCTGGGATCGAGCCCCGCATCGGGCTCCCTGCTCGGCGGGAAAAGCCTGCTTCTCCCTCAGCCCCTCCCCCTGCTCGTGCTCTCTCTCTCTCAAATAAATAAATAAAATCTTAAGAAAAGAGTTCTGCAAATCCAAACATTCTGGGGAGAATAAAAGCCAGGCTGAAGCCCAGGCAAAAACAACACACAGACCATCAGGATATAAGGGAGATGGATGAGGGCACACACATGCAGGACCCAAGTCAGGGGCAGCCAAGGAGAGAGGTGCAAACCTGCTGAGGCAGGAGCTGGAACCCCCTCCTTCCCGCTCCCCCCGAGCCTAAAGAGCACGGAGGTGAAATTTCATGTGCACCTCAGTCCCCTCATCAGCCATGTGATGTAACACCAACCATGAGTGACTTCCCCAAAGGCTGGGGAACCTCAGAAAGATCTAAGAACTTTCCCTGCAAAAGGTTGTGTCAGCGGAAATAATAAAGTCTGAAAACCCCAATAACCGCTGAGGCTCTGTTCTAGGCACTTTACGCGTATTACCCTCCCTAAGTCTAACAATAATTCTCTGGGGGCGCCTGGGTGGCTCAGTCAGTTAAGCGTCTGCTTTCGGCTCAGGTCATGGTCCCAGGGTCCTGGGATCGAGCCCCGCATCGGGCTCCCTGCTGGGCGGGGGGCCTGCTTCTCCCTCTGCCTCTGTCCCTCCCCCTGCTTGTGCTCTTTCTGACAAATAAATAAAATCTTTAAAAAAAAAAAAACCAATAATTCTATGAGGTAGTGGGTACTATTATCGTTCCCATTTTGTAGATGAGGAAACTGAGGCAGAGAGGGGTCAAGTACCTTGTCCAGGCTCACAGAGCTCCTTCCCATTATTCTTCAAC